TGCAGCTGCATCATCTGGATCTTGGACACCCAGTCCTTCTCCCGCTGCAGCATGAGGTTAGCGTAGGGGTCTTTGCGTATCTGCTCCTGGTGGCTGCTCCGGTGGCCCCCTCGGTCCCCCACCGAGCCATTGAGGCTCCGGTGCTGGCTGGCAGGAGGCAAGAAGGGCACCCGTGAGCACACAGGAGCTACAGGAAGGGACAGAGAGCGGTGCACAGGCTAGCCCCGGCAGCACAACACCCCCACGGTGGAGGGGCGATGCAATTCCCCCCCTTACTGTGCCAGGCAGCCCCTCTCCCACCACCGGCACAGAGCCAGCACTCACTTTCGGTTCTGCTGCTGTCGCTGGTGCAGGAGCCGGCGATGCTGAGGGTGCAGGTGGGTCGTGTCCGGTCGGAACATCTGGGGCTGTGGCCTGGGGAGAGGGGGAAGCCTCAGAGGTTGCCGCAAAGAGGACGGCAGGCGGCCAGGAGAGGGATGGCACCTACCTCAGGCTCTGCAGGTGGGATCCGGGGCCCGGCGGGTGCTGCGGCTGCGAGGGAGGTGGAGCGGGGGGAGCCCCAAAGAAGGCACGAAACCCGCTGGCCGGAGACATCATCTGCCCGACTCTGCCCTGGAGCAGCTTGGGATTGACGGAGGGGAGGGGGCTCCCAACCAGACCAGAGACACGGGCAAACTGGCTGGGGGACATTCGGCCGGCCTGGCAGGGCAGATAGGGAGCCTGGAGTCAGCCGGGGGGAAATTTGGGGGCAAAGGGAAAGGCCCAGCCAGGGCAGCAGCATCTGGGATGGCCAGCAAGAGCCATATAGAGCTAGCTCCTGCAGCCACGCAAGGAGAAATGCAGGATCCTGACCACGCAGGTGGGAAGGAAAGCGCAGGAAGGGAACGAAGGGAGCTTTACCTGGGCTCCTCCGAGCAGCTGCGCTCTCTGCAGGTGGGTGAGGACGGGAGAGACGCTGTGAGGGAACGGGTGGCCCAGGAGGGAGGAATTCTGGGGAAAGAGAAGGGAAGAGGGACCCCGGTCACGGCCCTGGCACAGCCGACGGTGGGCAGATGGGGAGCGGGTGATGGCACAAGACGAAGCCCCAGGAAGGAGCTCCGGACAGGCTGGGAGGTGGGCCAGGCTCCAGAGAGCGGGGCTGAGTCGGCAGAACAAGGCAGACAGGCTGAGCTACGGAACTAGAGACAAACCACTGGCTGGCTCTGTGTGACAGTGAGGGGTCCAGCGCCATCAGGGCCTGGATTTGCAGATGGGAGGAGGGTAACTGGGCGTTAGGGGGTTCTGAAGAGGCTGGAGGCCTGGAAGAGGGGTGAAGAGCGGACTGGGTACCGGTACGTTGCAGAGCTGGTTGGGGGACATCCTCTCGCCGTAGGGAGCGGGGTAGCGCTGCTGCATGGTAGCTCGGATGTGGACAGGCTTCGGACACAGGATCTAGGAGGAAGGAAGCATCACAGTAATCCCCATCAGCTTCTTGGGGAACCACCCTGCACCCCTTGAGCCACAGGCAGTGAGCAGGGCCATGGGGGAGGTACCTGCTGGTTGAAGTTGGGCACAGCAGCCTGCTTGGGAGGGGTGCCGATGGGGACAGCCCGGACAGGGGGGCTCCCAATGACAGGGGACGACGAACGCCGGGGCAGTGCCCGCTCGGAGGGGTCCCGCTCTTCATCTCGAGCCTGTGGGGGTCTCTGAGGCAGAGCGTAGTCCAGCACGGATACCGACGGCATCTCCTGCAAGCAGAAGGGGAGAGAAGGCTCCCCCCAGGATAACAGTCACTGACTGGGATGGGGAAGACCGGCACCATGTGCCCCAGGGATGTTCCAAGGATGCAGAAGCCACATCCATCCTCCTGCCAGGTCTCCTCCCCGCCCCGAGAGCCCTACGCGATTAACAGGGGTACCTGGGGACCCCCAGGGCCTGCCCCGCAGAGCCCACATCACTGCCAAGATGCCCGTTTGTGGTGACATTGCTGCTCCAGCACGGGGTGGGAACGCTCTGTGTCACCGCCACGCAGGCCACATGCACACGCTCGGTTCCCAGCCCTCATCAGCCTTCCAGAGCCACGCAGGGCTCGCCGTGCAACACGCTCCGCTTGCACTTAAAAGCCCGACTCTTAATTAAACCGCAACAAAAAAAAAAGGCCTTGAGGCGCCGACATTCCCAAACCCTGACAGAAGCGCTGACATCTCTCAGACATCACTAGGGATCACACGTCAGCGATAATCGCCTCAACCCAGCTCTCCAGCCTCCAAGGGGGAACAAGAGACAATGTCTAAGAGGGTCTACAAACAAGCCAAACCGGAGCCACCTGGACCCAGCCAGAGGCAAGCAGAACACCCCAGCTGATCTGGAAGTGCTCCCCAGCACTGACGAGCCTGCAGCAGCACAGCACATCTCACCCCTCGGCACCCAGCTGCAGGGGTTTGGGGGGCATTAGGGACACCACGATGGCTGCCATCGGCACCCCGGCACCATACCTGAGTGAGAAGCGGCCCCCGGATGCGCCGCAGGACGGCCGAGCTGTCCCAGATGCTGGAGTTCAGCCCTCCAGGCTGCTGGAGAACAGACAGGGAGTCAGCACGGTGCTGCTGGGTCCATACCCACTCTGGCCCTGCCAAACCAGAGCCCACCCTGACCCCACTCCCACCTGCGCAGGGACCCTGGTCTGCACAGCCTGCATGATGGCGGGGTCCTCCAACTCGCTGTCGATGACCAGCCTGGTCAGCCG